AATAAATCTTTCCTTACAAAATTCTTTTTCATTTTCAGAAAGCTCCTTGTTTTTTTTGACCAATGAAAAAAAATAATTTTTTACACTTTCTCTACCACAATTAGCCAGAGCATTATTATACATTTCATTATTAATTTTATATAAAAATCCTTTCTTTCTGGTGATAACAGTTTAACAAATGACATTATATAAAAATATAAATATATGGTGTTTTTTAGAGTGGAAAGAATAAAGAAAGGTTGCCGTGTTATGGTTCTTTTCTAAATGTTGTAAATTTGTGTAATATTTTTCCCTTTTTCCTTTCCCCAAATTTGAATGCACGGGAAATATTCTGTTGTAAAGACTTATTAATATTAAGACTTGAAATGGTAAATTCAGTGCAGTTACGAATTTTCCAAATATTTTGCTACTCAATTCTAAACTGAATTGTTGAGGAAGGATGAGATCAAGTCGTTTTTTCTTTTTTTGGTGTGTTGGCTTACAAATTGATTGTTGAAATTGAAAAAATATTTTTGTTTTCCAAAAATGGTGAATGGTGATGGTTATTTTTACATCGTCGTATCATGCAAATTCCCATTGCTATTTATTTTTGTTCAAAACGTCAGGGTTGAGCGAAGTAGATACTTGACTGAAAGGAAATTGTGTTTCGTTTTAGATGTTTTTTTGCACGGTGTCTATCGTTGATTGCCATTAGGTTTTTGTATTGCTCTGACGTTTCGGACCGTTCAAAATGACCAAAACTCATGGCCTTGTCTTGGAGCCTTTACCTCAGATTCCGACTTGACACACAACGTGTAATTAGTATATTTTCGGGTCACGAGACCGGGATTCAAAACACTTTTTTACATTTACTTTATTGCTATTGTTACTATCAGTCAATTTAATTATCGATGAACAAACAATATGTACAAAGTTTTTTTTAATTGTTTGCGTTAAACTAAAAAAAATATTTTATTTTATTTTGACCATTTGAAAGAGGAGAATTTATTTGTTAATTTCCTTTCGGAGAAAATAAACAAATCAATCAATTAATCTTTGCAACTTTTGATGTTTGCATGAAGCTTAGCGATAGACTTGGGGGAAAATCTAATTGACCTATTGACCTTTAATCAGGACAAAAAGATCTTTTTTTTTTTAATTAACAAAAAAAACCCGAGTAGTTGGTTTTTTTTTTTAACAATCGAAATTTGTAAATAACTTTTGATCACATGAGGGCTCTTCTTTGCAAAAGATCTTTTATTAAATTTATTAAATTCGTGAACGATTCCCTTTGTATATGTAATTTTTTTAAATAAATAAATACCAATAGTATCTATTATTTAAAAAATTATGATTACCAATATAATGGCTCAATGATAAAATTTGAAGGTTAATAAACTAGCCAAATTCTCATTATTAAATTCACTATCATCATGCTAGAAAATATTTATTAAGGGAGAGTTTAACGATTCGAAATTTTTATGTTTACATACTTGTCTAATTCCAGTGATATCTTCGAGTTTGATTAAATGCATTTTTACATTACAACTTGAACTTGAAATAATATTTCTATGATTATGATCATTATTACTATCGATAATTTCAAGTCGGGCTCCTTCATCTGTAAAAATTGAGCTATCCGACCAGTTCTAAACTTGCTTCAATTGTTAAATTAACGTCAGATTCTCCACTATTGTACTGTGTGATAAGTTTAAACTTGTTTGTCCAGTGATATTTCCTTTATCACTTTTGCCACCTTTAAATCATTTTCAATATTTACAGTTGCTTGAATGCATGTATCATAAAGCTTGTCCTTCCGATAGAACCAAAACCATCTAATTTCATCTGGACAAACTATGCACTCATTCGACATGTTTTGTGAGAACCCCCTGTGAGATCTATATTTTTTTTTACAGCATATTCTGCTAATTTTCCAATAAAGAAAAAGTCCATATAGCGTCAACACTTTCTTGAAAATTTTCTAATCGTCACTAAAGATACTGGCTCAAGACTCTCGAGTACCACTTTTAGTAATCCTTGCCAAGAATGATCATAATTTTCACACAATGTCTACCCCAATATCTCCCAATGAAGTTCATTCAACTCACAATGGAACTCAATGGAACTTGAGAGAAAAAAATACATTTATGACCTGATTTCATAATTAATTCTTCAATTCCTCTCATTTGTTCATCAATTAATTAATATAATAATAACTAAAGATTTAATATTAATTATTAAAATCGCGGCAAGTAATTCATTCATTTATTGGTAAGAATTTCTCACATGATAAAAAAGGTGGAATGATCGGCAGTTGATTCAAACAATTAGTTATTTACGAAAAAGAAAAACACAAAATATTTATAAAAACCTGTAAGCTCCGATCAAATAGTCAAAAGTGTGTTGGAAAAAATCGTCAATTACTTGACCATTACTGGCAAAAATTGCGCCTATCTACAAATTTGGATTCCGGTTATAAAGATCTAATGTAAAAATAATGAGCTAAAAAGAAAACTGTAACTATTCTCAAAGAAAATACAATAAACTAACTTTCAAATTAAAGAATCACTCGAATCATCAATTAAAAAGCAAACATTTACAATAAAAGAAGATGCAATTTTTAATACACTTTTTAGGAACTGAAATCAACAAAACAAAAAAAAAAGTAAATGGGGTTGAGCCCAATACTCCCTTTTAAGTGATGGAATGAGAATAAACAGAGATTTCCTGTCTTAGCAATATTGGCGCGTAAATATTCCAGCCACTTAAGTCCCCAGAGAGTGGCTTTTTTCGGATGCTGGAAATCATATAACAAGTAAACGCACAAAACTTAAACCAGAGAGATTCTTTTTGTAAAAAGAAATTCAAACTATGTGGATATATTTACATTGCTTGACAATGAGTTGAAACGTTATTTTAAATAAAGTACTAACATTTTTAATAAATCTAAATTTATTGTGAAGGCATTCCAAAATTTTCAAATGTAATGCAATAATGGAGATTTTAGCATGTCTCATTTCATATACAGACATAGGGATGTCAATTTGCATAATTAAACTGGGTTTAAACACAAATTCAATTTAATATTTTTAATATTCGCTCGGAACGCGCTTCAATTTTTGTTTGAAGCATGCGTTCAAGAAAATTAACGAATAAATATTAAAAGAGACAAATCTGAAGCTAACTAAACCCGTTTGAATAATTTAGCTCTAAATAGCATAGGAATATTTATATAACTAACTATATTAATATTAATATTATATTTAGAATTTATTAAAAATTAGAATTTTTATTACATATTTTTTTTTATTGTTTTACATAAAAAATAATAATTAGTGAGTGGTATGCTCCTGATTAGCCGCTACAAACCAAACAATTTTCTTGATTATTGAGTGAACAAGAAATTAGATTTGAAGCTAGTAATTTGTCATCACTGTTTTTATATTCTTCATCAGCTGCTTTTGATTCTTTTAATGCTGTTTGATCAACAGTGAACTATAAAAAAAATGCAATGTGTATAAGTTTTAATGTTAATTAGTCAACCGACTGTTATTATTTGTTTTTTATTATTACCTTAATTGCATCAGCAGCTGGCTTTGTTCTAAGGTAATACATTCCAGTTTTTAATCCTTTCTTCCATCCATAACTAAAATCAATAATAACGATTTTTATTAAAAATCCAAATACATAATCATCATAATATATCATTTTTTACTACTTACAAGTGCATGCTTGTTAGTTTAGCAATAGTTGGTTCGGCAATATGAATATTTAAACTTTGAGACTGATCAATGAAAGCACCACGATCAGCTGCCATATCAATGATAACTCTTTGTGATAATTCCCATGTCGTTTTAAATAATGCTTTTAACTCGTCAGGAATTCCCTGGATTTTCTGTATGCTTCCATTATCCGCAATAATTCTGTTTTTCATATTGTCATTCCACAAGTTCAAATCTATCAAATCCTTTAATAGCCAAGGATTCACTATCTGGAATTCACCTGCTAATACACGTCTAGTATAAATATTGCTAGTGTATGGTTCAAAACATTCGTTAAATCCAAGGATTTGTGAAGTAGAGGCAGTAGGCATTGGAGCTAATAATAATGAATTACGAACTCCATGTTCTGCTATTTGTTGTTTCAAAGAATTCCAATCCCATAAATCTGAAGGGGTCACTTTATCCCACATCTCATATTGGAGAATTCCTTTAGATACTGGTGATCCTTTATAAGTTTCATATGTACCATTCTCCTTTGCCAGCTCACATGATGCTTCTAAAGCTCCATGATAAATTGTTTCAAAAATTTTTTTGTTCAAATCTCTGGCTTCTGTTGAATCAAAAGGAAGTCTCATCGAAAGAAATGCATCAGCAAGTCCTAGATAAATGAATGAACAAAAAGTAGGCGGGTGGGTGAATTAAATCAATTAATATTTTTAATAGAATGTAAATTTATTTATAATAAATAAAAAATAATATGCATGTTGTTCTGTACCTTGAACGCCTATACCAATAGGCCTATGACGAAGGTTTGATCTCTTTGCTTCTTCAACTGGATAAAAATTTATATCAATAATTTTATTTAGGTTACGTGTTATAACTTTTGTCACCTAAATTATTAATAATATTATTAGAAACTTTAGAAATTTACAATTATTTGAAATAGTATATATATAAATATATAATACAAATTTTTTTTTTTATTTACCTCATGTAATTGTTTAAAATTGTATTCATCCTTATTTTCTACAAACATTGGTAACGCAATACTAGCCAAATTACATACAGCAACTTCATCAGGACTAGAATATTCAATAATCTCTGTGCACAAATTACTGGATTTGATTGTTCCAAGATTTTGTTGATTAGATTTACCATTACATGAATCTTTATAAAGCATGTATGGTGTACCAGTTTCGATTTGTGAATCCAAAATTGCAAGCCATAGTTTTTGGGCTTTTACAGCTTTGCGTGCAAGACCTTTTTGTTCATATGATTCATATAATTTCTATTATTTTTTTAAAAAAAAATAATTAAACAATATTAATTTAATTACTAATTTCAAAAGTAATATCAATATATATTTATATACAATACATCAATCAACTTGCCTCAAATTTTTTACCCCATACATCCATTAATCCAGGTGCTTCTGCTGGATCAAATAAACTCCAATTAGCATCAGCCTCAACTCTTTTCATGAAAAGATCAGGAATCCAAAGTGCATAGAACAAATCACGAGCACGAACTTCTTCTTTTCCAGTATTCTTTTTTAAATCCAAGAATTCAAAGATATCAGGATGCCAAGGTTCTAAATAGATGGCAAAGGCACCAGGTCTTTTATTACCACCTTGATCTACATATCTTGCAGTATTATTAAATACACGAAGCATGGGAACAATTCCATTTGATTGGCCATTTGTTCCAGCAATATATGAACCAGTAGAACGAATACCATGTACACTTATACCAATACCACCAGCAGATTTAGAAATCACTGCACATCTTTTCAGAGTATCATAAATTCCTTCAATGGAATCATCATTCATGGTGAGTAGAAAACAACTGGAAAGTTGTGGATGAGGAGTTCCAGCATTGAATAGAGTAGGTGATGCATGAGTAAAATATTTTTCTGACATTAGATTGTAAGTTTCTATTGCAGCATCAGTATCCTCACCATGAATACCAATAGAAACTCTCATTAACATGTGTTGTGGACGTTCAACAATTTTTCCACCAATCTTCATCAAATAAGATCTTTCAAGTGTTTTAAAACCAAAATAATTGTAATTGTAATCTCTGTTATATATAATTGCAGAATTAAGTATTGCAGAATTTTTCATTACAATATTATAAGTTTCTTTTGAAATCATTGGTGAATTTTTCCCTGTTTTTGGATTAACATATTTATATAAATCTTCAATGACAGAAGAGAATTGTTTTTTGGTTTCTTTATGTAGGTTAGATACTGAAATACGAGCAGCCAAAACAGCATAATCAGGATGCTTAGTTGTCATATAAGCAGCAGTTTCTGCAGCCAATAAATCAAGTTCAACAGTGGTGACACCTTGATATACACCAGAAATTACCTACATTATATAATAATTTATTCAATATATATATATATATATAAATACCAAATTATAATTTAGCATGTTATGAACCTTTTGAGTAACTGCTGCAGGATCAACAAAGTTCAAGTCAAGACCATAAGACAAATTATTAATACGTGAAGTAATCTATATTGTAAATAAATTTTTTTTGGTCGATATGTAGTAGTTATAGCAACAACAAACAACAATAACAATAATAAATAATATTAACTTTATCAAAAGCGACACGTTCTTTTCGACCATCTTTGTAAAGAATGAATGAAAAAATATTGTGTTAGTTCACCACTTCATTTTTCCCCGATTGTGCACGTTATATATTTTATTTACATACCTCTCTTAAAGACAAACATGATTTGAAAATTGTTTTATTAAAAGTATATTTAGTTTGTAAAAAGAAATAAATTTTAATGCCTTTTCAATATACGCGTAATTCTTAAAAAGGATTTGAAATTTTACCCTTCCTAGAAAAAAATCACACAAAGATGATCGTAAAAAAAACTATGGAAATTTACGTGTCGTACCCCAAAATTTTAATTTTTTATATAGTATTACAGTCAACCCTACCCCCCTGGAAATGAATGATAGCGCACGCGTAAGCATAATGGACACTGTAAAATAAGCTATTTCATTGGCCAAATTTTGTCGATCTTATTTCAAATCATCACACAAA